AGGACATCCAGGAGCTTATTCAGGAGACACAGCAATCCTATAAGTCATTCCTCATGGCCCTCCAGATGCTGGAAAGCACAAGGATGTTGTAAACTTTACAGACACAGCTGTGCAACATCAGCCTGGGTATCAAAGTACTGATTTATGGACCAACGTCCAAACCAACCAGGCCACTCTACTGCCATATAGTCATCATTAGACTAACAAATTGCTGTTCGTGACAAGCCGTGTGATCTTCCTGAAAGAATTACTAATTATTAGAACTACATAAATTAGCTTAATTAAAGCAGGGGTGGGAGAGAAACGCACCACAAACACACGGAACACATAAAAGCCTAACTAGGGATGATATTGAAGCACTACATAACCTCCATTATAACGAGGAACACTCATTACATTTTCCCTTAAATCAATATCTTGTTTTGAGCCACAGACCTTATGCCACAGCCAAAGAAACCGGTCAAGCTCAGTAGAGAGCTTTTCTGCATTCCCAACTTTATCTACATATAATCCACATTATTAATTAATTGCAAACAAGTCATATAAACAATATAACAACAGGATTTCTCAGAATCTTATTATCAGCTTCCAAACCAGCTGTTAGCCAGCTAACCGCTAACTAGCATAGCGTTTGCCACGCCTAAGTCATTTCTAAAACATTTTCCGACGCATTTAGCTAATTTACCCTCCAAATTGTTTATTACATTGTAAAGCACATTATATAAGCATAAACTAGTTACTATATGAACACAGGGCTAAATATCTTAATGTTTTATTGCAGAAACGCTGCTAGCCGAACGTGGCGCGACACGCCACATCAAAGCTAACGCCGCTAGCTACATTCGCACAAAAGATAAAACAAATTTATACAAGTAAACAAACAACTATTAATATTCATAAGAATCATAAAACATACACGAAGGTAATATTTGTGTTTAATCGGACCTGGAATCAAATAGTCCATTTATGTATGTTTTTATAAAGAATACGCGACGGGTTTAGTGGTTAGCAAATAGCACTGGCACGCTCTGTGTCGCCAGCAAATAACACGATATGTATTCACATAAGCATGTATTAACAGCGTAGTGCCTTACGTGTGTGTCCTTATCTGAAGGAAATATTAAAAAGTTAAGTCATGTAGGAATACAAGTACCAATAGGTCGTAAATGCATACTGCATTACCTCTCGGCGTCTCCTGGTAGACAATATGGCGGATGCTGCACTGGAGAAAGGCTGCGTATCAATACCTAACGAGCTGCTCAAAAAAAAAAAACCTTCGGAACGGGCATGTGAT